TGCTCTTATTCCCTGATTATGCATTTCCTATTTTAGTTTATTCAGTTTTATTTTTTTTTCCAAGTTCTTTTATTTTATTTTATTTTATCTCTTCCTTTTATTATGTCTATTGTAATTGGGTTTAAATACCCCTCCTCCTATTAATATTAATTGTGTTGGTCTATTCCTAATTTCAACATTCTAATCAAACAATAAATCTAATGCCAAATTCAAAATTTTTCTGTTATAAGAAAGGGCGTCACGAGAAAAAATGTCTTGAATAAAACAAGAGAGAGAAAAGGGTGTCAAATATTATGAGTTTTCGCATATGCTAATGATTATAATAACGATAATTGGGTAATGAACTCAAATTATTCATTTTATATAACTGTTAATAGGCTGTTGTTGGAATTATATAGGTAATTTGAGGGTGGGAAAGTTATTATAAGAGATTATGTTATGTGTAAAGACACTGAGATCTAAACTTCTAATATCAAGATGAAAGATGGAAAACGCAGGAGTTTGGGACTCTTACTAAAGTCAAACATATACCATAACTCAAAAGAAACCCATTGTCTCTCAACACTTCAGATCTATCAAGTTGCACTTTTAGAGATAGATTGAAATTTTAAGAGTAATCAAAGGTTCAATTGTAATTAAGGAAAACAAGTTGATACTTCATATGTTAAGTGAGATAAATAACAAACGAATTTAGCACATGCAACAAGATCATATTAGTTTAAAGGAGATGTTCTTCGCAAACAAGAAATCTTTAATATAGTCAATGTAGATTAGAGATTTCTAAGACTGGTATATTTGGGAAACATACTGATAAAGTTTAGGGTAGGGTAGCAAAATATCAAAAAGACTGTTAATTCATTAAAAAAAAAAAGATTTAAAACTGTTAATTGCATACTTTTTCATATTTGGAGACCCGCTACTACTCCACCTGATAGTAGAGGAAGATCATTATTTCCTTTATTAATAATTTCCCAAAAAAAATAAAAATTTATGTATCGAAACATAAATATGAGCCTTTTAAACATTCAAACAACGGAAATTTATGTTGATAATTAGAATAGGAAAAATATTAAAAGTTTATGGATAAATGATGGGTTAGAGTATCAAAATAATGAGTTTAATGGTTAGAAAGACAGTGGAATACTTTGACAAAAGATAAATCGAATCCAAAATAGAATAAAATTGCTAAAAGGATGAATAATTTTTTTTTAACGCATTTTATCATTCACAAAAATAGATGAGCATTTTTTAGAGCGAAGTAGTTATTTAGTGAATAGAAGTTCATCTACAGCTTTTTATCTCAAAACTCCAAAGAAAATATGAACAAGAAAAAAGGCAGACTGTATAGCAATGTAAAATTTTTGTCTGTATGATTATGTTCATATGAATCAAGAAAAGTTGAAACCACAATCTAAAAGAGACATATAGATGGAGTCAGAGCATAGATGTTGGCTTACAGATGAAAAAGGATCCAAGTATTACTATCAGTGATGTGATCTCCAATGAGAAAACAAAATTTATTCGGCAAAATACACAAAAGGACTAAGATACCACAGTCAAAACAAAAAATGTAATGAAATTACAAAAGAGCAGAGATATAGAATATATGCAAATGGAGATGATAATAGAAAAGGATAATATTCATGGTTATTAAGACAAAGATGCTATGCACGAAAATCGCATTATTTTTGAGAAATTATAATCTGGAGAGATCCATCAAAAATGAGTATAAAAGCACCTAAACAACTAGGTTTTATTGATTTAACTACATGTGTTATTATTAACACTGAACAATTGCAAAAGGATGAGCCGAGGTCATATAGAGAAATAATGAACAATGAACTTGCTATGAATGAAACAAATGAAACATTGGAAAAGAAGACAGCTTGCGAACCATGAATGAAGCATCAAAAAAAGAGAACTGTAGGCTACATGTGGATATTCAAAAGAAAATATAATATGCTAGATTTTAAGCATGCAAGATTCAAGGCAAAAATAGTGTGATGCAGGGCTTATGAACCAGCCAACTGAACGGACTGGTAAGAATACCGGCTGCAGCCTGTCTAGGATGGTAGGTTTAGGTCCCTACTAAACTTAGTGGCATTTAGAAGGGGCGGCACTGCTTCCAACCCCTTCCCTCTATTCCTTTTTGTTTCCCACCTGATGGGAGCCTATTTATGTGCTTCTTTACTAGATTAGGATTAGGTTTTGTATGATTTCCCTTTTCAGATTCTGTGTAGAGTCTTCTTTTCTCTTGCTAGGGTTGTATCAGAAGACAGGTGGTGCTCCGGCTGCATCCTGCTCCGAGAGCGTGTTGTATCCTCTACGATTTCCTTCTTACCACTCCCCATTCTCTCCCTTAGCTTTCGGCCAACCCCTACTCCTCCTTGTTTGCCCCAGCCAACCCCTTACATAAAGCCAGCCTTGCTGTCCAGTCCATCCAGCCACCACCCAGCACACTGCCCCTTCCTTTCATGCAGCCTCCCTTGCCGTCCAACTCTTCCAGCCCTCAAATAGCCTACTGAGCCCGTTCCCAACCTACCATACAGTGATCAGCCCTCTTCACAATCACCTTACCACATACAAGCATCACCATCCAAGCCATTCCTTTCTCTCCACTCCTAGCCACCGACCACCAAAGCATCTACTTTTCCAACACCAATTCCACATTCCCATACCACTACTACTCTCAACCACCTCGCCAACAACATCCACCACCCTCGGATCTTCTAGTAGACCGATGTTGTCGTGATTTATTTCTATTTTGAGGCGTGTTTGTAACTCTAATTCATTTGCTTAATAAAATTGCTTCAATTTCCGCTGATTTGACTAGTTCCAGTATCTTTTGATATTAGAGGTAATCTAACTCTAGTCCTAACTTAGGGTTTCCTAGCATCTGTCATAAACAAAAAAATTTCTCTCCTACCACCAAATACCATTTCCCCTTCCACAAATCTCAAACAATAATCATGCCGCCTAAAAGACATATGTCCAAGCATACCCGGGAAGAGATTAAGCAAGATATCTGCTGACTTCACTGGAGATTGGCAGACATTGAGGATGACACCTTGGAGGGACTTAACCCTTGATGGTGACAAAGAAAGCCGAAGAGGAGATCCATATGGAGGATGTCAGTGATGAAGATGAACAGCCACGGCATTTTGGAATCCAATATCAAAGGAGGCCTAGAAAGAAGACATCATTTGGAGGACACGGAGACTTCAAAATAAATGTGGATTTGCAAAGAAAGAGGAAAACTAAAGACAGTGATAAGATCACCAAGTGGGAAAAGATGAAGAAAACGATGCAAAGGCAATACATCCCACTCCATTACCACCGGTATATGTTTCTGATACTCTGTCATTTGCAACAGAGGGATCTTTCAGTAAAGGAGTTATGCCACAGTTTGATCAATTGCAGATGAGGTGTGATTTGGTAGAGCCAGAGGAGCAAACCATAGCCTGTTATCTGGGGGGCTTGAAGCCCACTATCAGCAACGTGGTGCAGCTGCAACCTTATTCATTACTGGGAGATGTCCAGACCTTAGCATTGAAAGTGAATTGAAAGTGAAAAGGTAGTAGAAATAAAGCGAGCAAACACCACCAATCAGGCAGTCACCCACAGTTAGAGACACCAACAAAACCACTCCTCAGGGACTTGAAAAAGCTACTTCAAATAAGGATAAAGCCGCCCCAATGAGAAGAGTAGCACGCAGCTAAAGTCCCCGTCAGAAAATGTTTCAAATGTCACGAATTTGGGCAGATTGCCTCCAGCTGCCAATTGAGCCGTCTCTTTTACCGAACAGGGCATTGTGAATGAGGTTATCGTTGAGGAGAAAGTTTGAGGAGCAAGGTAAAGTGTACTATTTGACACCAAATGAAGGAGAGGCACTTGTGGCTCGACGGATCTTACAGGCTGAAGAAACGAGAGATCCGCAGTAGCTTCGCCATAATATTTTATGCACCCACTGCAGGGTAAATGGAAAGGTATGCAGTATCATCATTGATGGGGGGAGCAGTAAGAATTTAGCATCCACAAGATGGTAGAAAAGTTGGGCCTCCTGACACAGAGGAATTCCAAGTTGTACTCACTGGTGTGGCTGAAGAAGGAGAGTCGGGTCAGCATTGATCGGAGATGCCTAGTGGAGTTTTTTATGAGGAGTCAGCTGAAGAACTAGGTTTGGTTCGACGTGGTCCCCATGAATGTCTACCACCTTTTGTTGGGGGGACCATGGCAATTCGACCGTAGAACTCGGCATGGCGGACTTAGAAACACTACACCTTCACCAAAGAGGGGAAGCACATCATCCTACTTCATTTGACAAAGTCTAAGAGCACAGAAGTCATTGCCATCCGAGCAGCTTCAATGGGATCAGTTTTGGTGACGGCAAAGGATGATGGAACTGAGACACCAAAGGCACTACATGGAGCATTTCAGGATAAACATGGGACAGTCACTACATGAAGCATTTCAGCATTTTCAAAGCTAGTTTTGTGTAAGTCTTTTGCAAGTTAACTCTGGTAAAAAAGATCAGGATAAACATTTTTTAGGTCTCTCTATCATTGTTTACAGTTTAACACAGTTTATTTGGGTGCGGGTTGTTACAAGCATTCTTAGGAATAATTTCTTGTTCAAAAGAAAGTTATTACAGCGGATTTAAGCGTTTAACTCAGTTTTTTAGTGATTGTCTGAGTTCTGAAAATCTGCATTATGTTTATTGTCGTATATTGTATATTGTTACATAGCTTCGTATTGGATACCCTTGGAAGGCCTTGTTAATTCATTGGAGTAATTCTGTACTTTTTAAAATGACGTATAATAAAAAATTGATCCACCCATACTTGATAAATTCAAAAAACAACCCAGCATCGATAAGGCGGCAGATAGAACCGAGACAAGTATCAATACAATTTAACCATCGTCAAATAAAAGATGGCAGTTTCAGATTAATCAAAACGGAAAAATCGTATTAGCAACAACAAAAAAAATCCAGCTCTCACCTCATCAGCCTCGTTATCGAGTGCAGATGAAGAGACCGACGGATTACTTTCCCCCTCCCTCCCCGTGTCCTCTTCAGCAAGGTACCCGTCATCTTCAGACATTTGGAGCTGCTCGAGAGCCCTATGGCACTGCTCCAGCACCACCTCCAGCGTCCTCCTTCGAACCCTGATCTCCTCCGCCGAGCCGACCGCAGGAAACGTATTCCTAGATGAGGCTTTCGTAACCTGTTCCGCAGTTCCCATGTTGGCCAGACGCTAACGAAAAGTACGAATTGAGGAGAGGGAAAAGTGGAAAACTAGGGTTTCTGTCGGAGACGGTATTGAGGTGAAATCCCCGACGAGTAGATTACTCGGATCATCGAGGTCACGTTAGAGCTATAATTATTGTTTCGAGTTTGGATTTGTATAATTATAAGTCATTTATGTTGGATTCGAACTTTCATGGACTAATCAAATTTGGTTTGTTTATAACTTTTTTTTATTGTTTGAACTTGTTTTGCACTTAGATTTATTTATGAAGTGAATGTGTATTTAAAAGGACTAATAAATGAACTAAAAATTAAAATAAAATTTTAAATTTTCATATAAAAAATTTAATAAATAATTTTGCAATTTCAATTGGATCCGTTAAATTTATTTATTTACTAATTTAAACAACTATATGAAGTATTAATCGAGTTGAGTTCAAGTTGTTCATTGAGTGCATTAGTTCATTTACAACCCTAAGCTAATTTGACCGAACATGATCAAGCTTTAATCGAGACGAGTTCAAGTTGTTCATTGAGTGCATTAGTTTATTTACAACCCTAATCACACTCCATCTAGCAGGGCTTGTTCAACGAAGAGTGCAATGAATAATGAATGCACTTGCTCCAAGGTGTGAACACGAGCGAGCTTGGACTTAGCTCGTGTTCGACAAGTTAAAAAATATTATTGTTCGTGTTTGGCTAATTTATATTTCGAACACAGCAAAAATTTTTCTTATTTGGCTTGTTTGCTTAACAAGCTGAGCACGAGATATTCACAAACACTGAGTCATTTTGACAACTCTTCTCACGTAAACATAAAATGTTAAGAATAAGGGTGATATTCAAATTTTTTATTTATATTAAAATATCATTTAAATATCATTTAATATATTTTTATTCTAATTTTTAGTTAATTATTTTAATTGAATATCTTTATAGATAATTAACTTATTTAAGGCTCCATTTGGGACAGCTTGTGTGTTTCACGATAAACTGATTATTCTGAAACGCGGCCCGCGTTTAGTGTAGAAACTCAAACACAGTTTCGAATAAGCTGACGAGACGCACGAACTAAACGGTACGGCGGGGGTTTTAA